TTTTTCTCTAACTTGTGAACTTTATGTACTTGGATATAACTGGGTTCATTGTTTCTCTCTCTTGAGCATTATCATATAAAAGAGAACAAAAATAGAAGTTTTGGGGATTTTAGAATCTCATTTTCCAAAACTGACACAGGACTTTAAGTAGTGCACTTATCCCTGCCCTACTTTTAATTACTTTTTAAAACCTGATTCAATTTTGGTTTTTAGTTCCCTCCTAAGAAAAATGTCTCAATCTCAAGATAACATTCCTTTCAGGTAACTGCACACATAGCTCCACATAGTTAATAACATATCTCCTGCCTCCCACCTTCAAAGACGTTTTCAAAACACTAGGCTGTCTCAGAGATATGAACTGAAATATTGTTTAAAATCCCAGGCTATTTAATATTTATAGATTTGGACTGCAGAGATACCTTAAAGGCAAGCTAAGAAATTGTTCCTGCATTCTGGGCTTTGTTTTTCTTGTAATTATATCATGAAATAATTAGATGCTAGTGATGGCATCAGAACTTGAACTTGCATCTTAGCTTAAAACTAAAGGAGGTCAGGCACTGCAATTGCAGCACATTGGAGCAGATTCAATTAATAGGATCTGCTGGAGTGTGGTAATTACTGTGCTCCAGCGTTTTGTGTATCAGCATCCCCACACTTCAAAATGGCAGGGGTGCTTTATCTAAAGCTCGCTCAACGAGCTATAAAGTGCTCCTGCAGCCGTTTTGAAGCACAGGGACGCTGATACACAAGACGCTACTGGCACTTAAATTAGAGCAGCTTCAAGAGCCACACTAATCAAAGTGCCCCCTCACTCACAGAGCATGTGTATAAATGCCTGAAATGACTTGCAAAGTTCTTTCCTGAAATGCTGTTTGTCTTAAGTCTACACATGTTTTAAGGATTTGGAATTGTGAATAGTTTGCATTTAACTTCTATGACCAAAAAATCCTGCTGTTTTCCATTCAACTTGACTTTGAAGGGTTGGAAAAATTCCTTGAAGTCTGCATAGTGTTTTCTGAACACTCATGTTCATGGTGATTTGTCTGTGGTTGCCAGATGTTATCTATTTGTCTTTTGCTGTGTGTGGTACTGAAATGGTGGCCACCTTTGGCAGGGCCTTTAAGATCTACCAATACATATACATACTTTTGCATTGGTTTCTTGTTTATTTTCTTGTTTGTTTCTGAATTTAGTTTGATGGCTATGGCCAAAGTTAGTAAAATCATTTGTTGTAAATCCTGAATAAGATTTTGTTTGCCTCTTGTAGCAGGGCACTGGTCTTGATGACCCAAAAGGTCCCTTCCAGTCCTGAATTTGCTACCAGTCACTGTTTTTAATGGATTCTTCAAATAGTTTTTCTATTATTTGGCTGCTACTGTCAGGTTTTTATGTCCTGAATGGTCTGACACCTTTCGTTCAGTCTAGGTCATTAAGAAAGAATGGGAGATTCTTGCTGTTTGGAGAAATCAGTTTTATGTGGAGACTTCCCCATATTGAAAGTATGGTCTTTAGGGTTCCCTGAACAAAGTTTGTTGTTTTTTTTTTCCCAAAGGGTATGTCTTTGCTATGTGGAGATTCCCAAGCTAGTACTGAATAAATTGGTGCAAGTCCCAGAAGCAACACATCTTTCTTTGTTAGCTTGGTTCTGTACCTAGACTACAGAATAATGAATACTTCAATCAGTTCAATTTGGGGGATTTCCTGTGTCAGACTTTTCCATGTTAGATCATAATTATCTTTGCTTGCCTCCAAATAATAGGTTGCTCCCTGTGTTGTAAGGACTATGAAAGGGAAAAGGGATGTGCCCTAAATAGATGCATTGTATTTTTTGGCATTATTAACTGCTAACACCTGAGAGTTGAGGCCCTTTGTGGTTCCTTGACGGTGCCAGCTACGCTAACATTGAAAATAGACTAGAGAGTTGGTGCTCTACTTATACAAGTTAAATATTGCCAGTTACAAAAGGGAAAATACAGAAATCTGAACTTGGGCCTCACCAGCTAAGAAATATGTTTGAATTCAGTGATTTCTGTATAGTCTGCTTACGATCTGACATCTTAAAGACATTTCATATTTAAAATATTTTAAGTTCACCTTTAAAAAATAAACAAAATACCTTCATTTTGTAGCTGTTGTACTAGTAGAGAATTTTAGTTGGCTATGTATGCAAGTTTTGTAAATCTTCTATCTACTGATTTGGAGAAGGAGCCTCACGGAGGATTGGATTAACAAGAGGATTTTGAACGTGTGTCGTATTTGCATCTCAAATATCAGGAAATAAGCTGCTGTCGTGTGCTATGCTGCTACCCTGGCTGTGTGACAATTTGCACATCTCTTAGTGTATGCCTTTGTGATCAGAGAATAATACCTATGAACTTGGGTTTTCAAGTTTAAAATTTAAATTCTCAAGAAACTGCACACTTTTTTTAATAGAGCAAAGGTTAAGGGGGAAAGATACATTAGGACATTTAGCACTTTACTTTGTATCCGTTGTCCTCCAGAACTGTCTGAACCCCTACAGCATGTTTAGAATTTGAAACTCTTAGATGCATAATAGAAATGGCCTGAACTGTTTAGTTGTTTGATGTGGCATCAGAAGCATCGGGTCTTTCAAGCAGAACCATCTGAGCTACTACTTTTGTGTGTTCTGTAGAATTCGGAGTACTCTTCCAGGTCTTCCCATATGGATGCTAAGAACTACGCAGGAGGAGATTTAGAAGTAGCTGCTCTCAGGCTGCAGTGGGACTGAAGGTGTTACCAACTGGTGGGGGAAACGTTAAGTGGGATGAGGAGTTGGTGGAAGGGACCTGGGTGCGTGGGAGAGAAGGAGACACAGACAAGTTTGTACAGGAATAAAATATGCTATTTGTTGTTTACTTATGTGTTTTATATGTTGCCCTTCCCAACAAGGGACTCTGGATGGTTTTTACAGTAGGAGAAATAGAACAACCTAAAAGGACACCTAGAATAAATAAAACAAAATAAAGCAAAGACCCGCTAAACAGCGTATGGGGAACCGGTGGTGAAAAAGTACAAACGGTGTTGGGAAGGGATAATAAATGATCTGAAGAGCAGAAGTTTGTGATGTGCTTATCTGTGGGGCAGGGATTTTGCACAGCATTCATGTCTGGGACTGCTAAATCGGATAATAATACCATATGCTATCAAAGAAAGTGGAACATACCCCTGTTTTTTATAGATCAGCAGTTGCACATAAATGATGTTCCTTAGTGGTAGGGGAGGGTTTGCAGTGATACATTCTCTGATCACTATCCCACTGGTCCCTGAGGGTTTGCACTAATACATTCTCTGATCACTATCCCACTGGTCCCAACATTTGGTAGGACATGAGTTTGAACCCTGAACATTTCTGCCATGAGGAAAGGTGTTGGGAGGGGAGAGATCAGCATCATCATGGTGGCATCTACAGCATTGATAGTAGTTCTCTTAGTACAGCTGTCTCCTTTTGGGTCACTGTAAAAGTGGAATACTGCTCAAAGTAGGCAGTTGTGGATGTCTTTTTGGTTTGTTTTGTTGTTTTTATGTTTTTTGGGGTTTTTTTTAATGAATTCTTAGTAGAAATTCCAAAGCCTATAATATACATGCTTGTCATTGAGAGAAGCTGTGAGCACAAACAAGATTTCACACTCTGAGTAGATAGTTGCTTTTATGAAGTCATACATTTCAGGCCACAGACAAATGCCAGTGCCAGTATATACACATGGAATGCCAAACTTTTATAAGCTTATTGCTTCTGGTATTCCTAAAGTGTACCAGAGATACATTGGTGTGGCATTTAAATTTTTTTTTTATGCACACCTGGATGACCAGATTTGGTCATCTGCATGGCTGTCCAACTTCCAAAAATGCCACTTATATACAGGGTGGCACTCTTACTTCTGGGCAAATAGCCCTATACACATGGATAGCTATATGTTTGGCATGTATGTAAATTACATTTTTGTGACTTAGATGACCAGAGTTGATTGTCTCGGCACTCAGAAAAGAATAGACTAGCTTTCCCCCCACCATCCCCAAACCCCTTATTTGAGACCTCCTGTTATAGGCAAGGCTTAATACTATACTATGCTACTGTTTTTTCTTAGGTGGCAGGTGTAATGGTTTGTACTTCTGGATTGTATCTGGAAGAGCAATTGGCAATGTCAGGATGAGTTTTGTATTTAAATTCAAACCATTACATTATAGTGCAAAACATTTTTGAAACTTGAAAACTAGATTTGAATAATTTAGTGCTTTAATTAAATCATAGTTGTAGGATCTGCCCTCTGTAAAGTAGAAATCTACCTTCTACAGGGAAATTAGTAGGTAGCCTGTGTTCTCTTTCCAGATTCATCTTTAACTTATACAATTACCCTTTTTTTTTTTCATTGCTCAAGAAGCCAAATAATACTGTGTGTAATTATTATAAATTATCATCCACATAAAAGGTGACCGACTCCAGAGGCATCTGTCATAAACTAAAATACAGTTGTGGAAGATTGAAGTACTGTATGTTTTTTGTCCTAAATATGAAAACAAAGTGTAATTTAGTGCCCCTTCCCCAAACTGAAATTTTTTTACTGTGGTCCTGCTTGCCTGAGACTTGCAAGAAATGAGTTAATAGGAGGTTGTATTTAGTGTACGTGAATTGAAAACTAAGCTCCTCTACTTGCCCAGCATTCTGTTTTGTTACTATGCTGAAGTTCATAACTATGGTAAAGGTAGATTACCATTATTACATATTTTAATGTCTTTAAAAAGGTTTAACTCAAATAATTTGATAAATGAGACTCGACTGACTTCTTCCCCCTCAAAATCAACTGCTTTTGCCATAAGTAGAAAAACTGAATTAAGTTTAGTTATGATTTACCATTGCTTTGGATGGTCCATTAAGTAATATACTTAAATCTGTGTCAGAAAGTACATATGTCCTGAAATAAATGAAATAATTAAATGTTGGTTTGTTTATTGTTTTGTTTTCTTCTTTCCCTTCCCAGGTGTGTGTTGGTTAAACTAGAAGGATGTAGCCATCCTGTTGTTATGAAAGGATTGTGTGCAGAATGTGGCCAGGACTTGACGCAGTAAGTATTGCCAGATCATTTAAGCTTTTTTCCATTTACACGGACCATCAGAGAACTTGAATCTTACAAATCTTTCTCATCTTCACTCTTCTGTCCCTTTCAAAGGTAGGAAACTTGGCTGGTAATAATGGCTATGAATTAGGTTAAAATAATTTCTATTGCATTTCTGATTCATATGCAGAATTTTAGATTTTAGTATTTGAATAGAGTAGGGGTGCACTGATAGAGACTTTTTGGGCCAATACCAATGGCTGTTTTTTTTTTTAATGAGCCATATTGGTGGATACCAATCCAGTTGTCAATATGGAGCCGAGCAGCGTCCAGCTGGTAAGTCTGTTGTAGGGAATGGGGCATGGGGAGGGGCAGATAGAGGCCCCCCGCGGTGAGGGAGGGAACGGGTCTGGGACAGGGGCAGGCTCTGCCCAGCCGGGGCAGGGCATGGGACAGCCATGAGCAGTTCTTCGGGGGGGGGTGCAGGGAGGGGGGAGCTGCCTCATCTCCCTGTGCGTGGCTCAGCCCCAGCCCCACTTCCTCCTTCACTGTAGGAGCCTCAATCTGCCACCCCCGCACGCCCCTTCCCTTCCCCTACAACAAGACTCACCAGAAAAACCTGGCTGCTCCCCATGCTTCCAGGCTGCACTCCTGGCTACTTGCATGCTGTGCTGCAGCTGACCATACACGCACGCCACTTAACAGCCACATCAGCCCAGAGATGTGGGGCAGAAAACTTTCCAGTGCTTTATTTTTCTGTGGGAAATTTTCCATTTCTAAAAATTAATTGTTTCATAAAATTCATTAGTAGGAATGAATGGATGCTAATACAATATTAGGCAAGCTTGGCAGTTTTGAAGTTGTAATTAATGTTTTTCAGGTGATTATCCCTAGGAAGTGTGTGAGAGAGTACATATATGTTTTATTGATTTGTAAACAGGAAGGTAAATACACTCACATAATAATCCAAACCAAAAATCAAGTTATGAATTCACTTAATTGGCTATGCAGATCAAATTAATGCACTGCTATGCTTGTTTCTATTTCTCAAAATCTCTTGCTTCTGGAGAATCAGTTAGAAGCACAATTAGTGAAGAAGATACAGTGTGATAAGTTGTCTTTGCCCATAGACTCATTGGTAAAATCATCCTTTAGCGAAAGATAATGTGGTTCAAGTAGTTCTGAATCAGATTTTCCTCAATCTGATTCTGAAATGGAACTAATAAGTAGTGCAAGTGATTCTACAAATAATGACAGTGAAACTGGAGGTTCCACAATGACCTCAGTGGAAGAGAGTTAAACTCTGTTGAAGTAGATGAGTGGACAACCACGGCATATCATGCATAGTTCTTTGAGTATGCTAAAATTACTGTCAACAGTTTTCAGTGCCTTTTGTGTTGTTCTTAAATTTAAACAAACAATGTAAGGGAAGTACATGCTATTGTGTAACATCTTTATGTTTTTACAAGTATTCCAATAAAAATTATTTCTTTCCACATAAAGCTTTGAATTCGTTTGAATATAACATTTAAACCACATTAAGTGTGCTGTATTTCATTTTTTTTCCTAATCAAATACTTCAGTTCAAATACTTGTGACTATTAGGACATAAAATTTAACATGGGGGTGCTTTTTTAGTTTTCTTTACTAAATACAAGTTGAATAAACATATTAAATCAGATCATGCTCTAGTCAGGGCACTGGAAAATTTTCCAGTTGAATTTTCCAATTAAAAAATTTCCAGAAAACCCACATCTCTGCATCAGCCAAAAAAAGCCTATTGCTGATTCAGTCAATTTTCCTTATATTGATGCCGATCCCATATGGGACTGGTGCACCTCTAAAATAGAGTATCAGCACTGCTTCATGATGCAGTAAAACTATATAGAAAAGCTTGCATTGAGCTTGCCCATGTTCTGTTTGGTTCTATTTGCTGTAATGTTAAATATCACTTGCTTACATCAATTTACCATATAAAATAAGGGAGTAAAAAATCTGGCCCTTGGAGCCCTATCATCTGGCCTGCAGTGCTACCTGTAAGTCTCTGACCAGCCCTATGTGCTGTATGCAGGACTTGCCAGCCTACGTTGGCTCACTTTTTTATGGTACACGGTTCCTCCTCGCACATCTTTCTTAGCCCTGTACATTCCAGGAGAATGTATTGAATTCTGGCGTCTGTTACAGCACCACATTTTGTCCTCAGTAACACTTCTGATTCAAGGCAATTACTGTAATTGAAAGGGTGAACAAGGAGTCATGTACGGCACAACTGAAAAAAATCTGAACTTGGCTTTTAGAACTCAGGTTTGGCAGTATAGCAGTTGCTTGTAAACTGATCTATTTAATCTGGAAATCGATTTCAGCATGGAACTGTGTGGAGTCATTCTTGGTCAGCTTTCAGAGAATTTTACTTTAATCGCTTTTGTTTAAAAATAAAAAGCTGTGGAGAGAAGTAAGGCCTGCTTAATAGTTCTTTGCATGCTTTGTAGGAAGAAACGCAGCAATATGCTTGCATACCACTGGAAAGTAAATGTTTCCCATGTTCTCCAGCATGTGTACAGGCCATTGTAAAGACCTGCAGATAGATAGGCTGGTTTAGAGAAGAGTATTGAATGGCATGTTGTTAGTTTTCCAGAGGCTCCCTTATTAATCTGTTTTCAATTCAGTGGTTACATTTCCTCTAATGTGCAACACATTTTATAATGATCTAAAAACTATCCTTATTATTGAATGCTGACTAATATCTAGTCTTTTACCTTGATCTTGTGTATATCGTTGTTCAGGAAACTGTCAGAACAAATTACAGCAGAAAGTTATACTTACATGATTTTCATAGTAGGCTGCTTGGGTTCTCTGATCAGTTTTGTTCTCAAACTTCCAGTAAAGAGGTTATGACAGAAAAATATTCTACCGAATTGTAAATTAAAATGAAATTGATTTTATTTGACAGTGACTGGTTTGACTTTGCAGTTTTTAATGATGTATGGCTTTCATTGATGGAACCATTAGCATTAAAATACTCTGCTAAAACTTATGACATTTTCCTGACTGATTAGGTTACCAAGCAAGAATGGAAAACAGAATGTGCCACTATCCACAGCAACTGTGTCTATGGTTCATAGTGTCCCGGAACTGATGGTTAGCTCTGAGGCAAGTTCAATCACACTTCTTCAGTCATGTGCTTGGTATAGTTTCATGGTTATCTTTTCTAAATTAAGTCTTTTCCCTCAAATTGTGTATGTTTAATATAGAATATTTGGCCTTACTTTGAGAGAGTAAACTAAGACATGTGGGTCTTTAATTAGCCATGTATTGAATAATTAAGGTTTGTGGTTTTTTCCCATAACACTGTTGATATTGGTACATCTTACCAATTCCCTTGGAACCTGCTGTACAGCATTGCTACTTGCTGCAGTGGTGAGATGTTTTTGTGGTTATAACCAAGGATCCTGGTTTTCTCCGATTGGGGGGGCGGGGGGAGAAAAAAAATCTACAATTTTTCGGTTTTATAAAGTAACCCCAAATCCACATTTTTTTGCAATTCAAATGAAACACTGCTATATCTGCATCTGTATATTAGTGGTGTTTCATTTAAATCATGAAAAAATGTGGATTGGAGCTGAAAATTGGGGATCTTTTTAAATCGGAGAAAACGAGGATCCCTAGTTATAACCTCAAAATCTAATGAACCCTTTCTGGTTTTCTGTCTCCTTCAGAAATAAGAAGTTTGTGACAGTATAACTCTTGCCCCCTAAAATATACTCAAAAGACAGAAACATCTTTTTGAAACCCAGTTTCTTTTCATAGAACAGTGTAGAAGATGATAGAAATGACCTGCTATTTCTTTAGTAATATTGTAGTCTATGACAGACCTCTCTCTTCCAAGTCCTTGCGAGGCATGATTATTGAAATAAACCTTTTGAGCAACTAAGTTGTTTGAAATAAACACAGACTATTTAATTACTCTTTCTGGAACAAGAGTACAAAAAGTAGCTGTACAAACAAACGTATTTCTAGAGAGTCGATTCCATTTGCAATTGTATTGATTTTTCTTGTTAATAGTTTCAGTTTAGTGTTGTAATCTAGCCAGTATTATTTTGTATTTTCAATTTCTACAGTTAGTAGATTGTATACTGAATTTAGTAGCTATTTCTTTTTCAAGAACTGACCAGTAATCATGTGCTTCAGTTTTTGGGTGGACAACTGAGGAACTTCTGAAATATTGGGTCCATTTCACATGTTTCAAGTTTATCAACATTCCTAGTTTCTTTTCTAGATCTTGGCCTCATGACTTGTGGTTAGATGTGTATTATTCTTAGCTGCTTTTAGAAAACCTGTGAAACATTTAGTTCTATGAGCTATGAATTTTTAACTGAAAAATGGTTGGCAAAGATACTAAAATAGAGGCTTAGTGGTCCTATTCCCTCCCCACAAATTGGTTAGAATCAACACTTTCAATTAGTTTTGAAATTTGAAATAAACCTAAATTAGTGACTTACTTTGAAGTAAATTTGATCTGTAAATCTTTTCTTATAGCAAGCTGAACAACTCGGAAGGGAAGATCAGCAGCGACTACACCGGAACCGAAAACTTGTACTGATGGTAGATTTGGACCAGACATTAATTCATACTACAGAACAGCATTGTCAGCAGATGTCTAATAAGGTAAATATTTTTTTGCTGTTAAGTTTTTTGTAATTACTTTTGCTTGAAACTTTTTTGAATCAGATTTGTGAATATATACACTGTGATTAAAGTATTGATGAAAAGAAGTGAAGAATTCAAAGAAATGAAGGACACTATTAAAATAAAAAGTATATTTAAAACATTTAATTATTTAAACACATTTGTTATTTAAGTTGAATATATTAGGACATTTCTATCACTTGTACATGTCTATATTCCATTCCCTGTTGTAGTTGCTTTAAAACACAGGTTTTCACAACAGAAAAATTCTATGTATTTTTAAGTTTACAGCTTTAGAGTAAAAAAGTCTTCAATTTAACATAAAATAAGTTAATATGATCAATTTCTTTAACTTTGCCCTGTCTCTTCCAGAAATACCATGCAACTTGCTTAACACTTTAATCCTTTCTTTCTTGCAAGTAAGGATTGACTTGCTTTTTTCAGGTGCTAGTAGGAAAAGTTGCTTTGCAGAGAAGCAACTAAGCTTCTGTAGTAATGGAAATTATCGACCTGTGTTAATATTGTGTAACTGAAGACTTAGTTCACATTGTCCACGTGTCTGGCTTGATTACTGGTATATGATTTTACTTGCTAAGAATGAAGGCCTACACTTGGGTCACAATAATTGCATGCCCAAATATGGATTGGGGTGCGACTAGTTAGGCTATAGTACTGCAGAGAAGAATCTGGGGCAGGGGTGTCCAACCTTTTTGAATGTGGGGATGGATCATGAACTTTTTATCACCCAGCGGGCCGGCAGGAGCGGGCGCTTGTGGGCCCTGTCCAGTTCGGCCGTGGCCTGGGGGCGCAGGAGTCAAGGGGCGCCCCCAGCCCCCGCCGTCTCCTCCCTGCCACCTGGGTGGCCTCAAGGATGCTCCCACACCTGTGCGCCTGGGCTTAGCAGCCAGGGGGACATGCAGGGACTCTACAGGGGGGTGCGGGATGTGCAGGGACACCCACTTGCTTCCTCTCCCCCAGGCAGCCTGAGCCCGAGCCCGACCGGCAGGGCTCCCTCCCTCCCTGGGGCTCCTGCCTCACCCCCCCCAGCGCGATGTCTGTGGGCACAGGGGATGCGGGGAGACGGGAGTGGCGCCGAATTCCCACCCTGACACCCACAGCAGCAGCGGCAGCAGCATCTCCTGTGAGCCTGGCCTCAGCATCCCTCCGAGCCGGCATCTGCGTCCCCTGTGTCCACCCGCCTACTGCACCGCAGCCTGCTCCAGCCTGCGCAGCTGATGGGGACCAGTGCAGGGTGGGGCCGGCATGCAAATGAGGAAGGGAGGGGTGGGGCTAGGAAGGAACACTGTGAAATGAGTGGGGAGGGGAGGAGCTGCTCTGTGTCGGCAACGTCAAGCTGATACAGTGCGTGTGGGAACCTTCTCCCTTCCTCAGCCCTTCAGCAGCCATTAGGAAGCTGCTGAGGGAGGGCCTGGGGGAGGGACAAGGGGTGGGAACAAAAGTAAACAGTATTTAGTTTCCTGTCGCAGCACCTCAGGCCTCAGAAAATGGCTTTGCAGGCCACATGGTGGCCCGTGGGCCATATGTTGCAAGCCTGATCTTGGGGTTACAGTGGATCATACACTGTTGGCTCATATTCAGCTTGCTCCTGTTTCAACAAAAAATAAAAAATCCAACAGTTTCTTCAGTTTACATTAACAAGAGTGTCTCCTGTAAATCGAAGGAAGTGATTTACTTTATTCGGTACTGATGAGGTCTCCACTGGAGAATTGAGTTCGGTTTTGGGCCCCATGTTTCGAGAAAGATGTGAATGGATTGAAAAGAGTCCAGCAGAGAGCAACAAAAAAAAATTATAGATGCTTGGGAAGCACGATTTATGAAGAAAAGCTGAACGAACTCAGGTTATTTAGTCTGTAGAAGAGACTTGGGGGAGATTTGGTAACAGTCTTCAAATAACTGAGAAGTGGTTACAAAGGGGATGGAGATAGGCTTTTTCTCTGTGGCTGTAATGGACAGGACTAGGAGCAATAGTCTCAAGCTGCAGCAGAAGTAGTTTAGGTTGGCGGATTAAGAAGAACTTTCTGATTATGGGGGTGGCCAAGCATTGGAACAGGTTACCTAGAGAAGTTGTGGAATCTCTATTCTTGGAAATTTTCAAGAGCAAGTTAGACAGACACTTGGCTGAGATTTGGTTTTGTCAAGGATGTTCCTGACTGAGCAGGGGCTTGGACTAGATGACTTCGAGGTCTTTTCCAGCCCTATTTTCCTGTGATCTTACGGAAAGAAAAAAAAAAAAAGGTCGCATGTCGCTATAAAGTTCTTTGAATTTTTTTCTAACTAAAAAATTGTCAGACAAGTTAGAGCCATGAACAGAATAGAGACAGAGAGGTGTTTTGGGCATATTTTGAGTACAAAATATGACTTCTTTATTTACTAACTATTTGTTCTTTTCTAGGGAATATTCCATTTCCAGTTAGGCCGAGGAGAGCCTATGCTGCATACCCGTTTGCGTCCTCATTGCAAGGAATTCCTAGAAAAGATTGCCAAATTGTATGAATTGCACGTTTTTACATTTGGTAGTAGACTTTATGCACACACTATTGCAGGTAAGCAGTATGCTCTAGATTGGGGGTGGGCAATTATTTCAGCTGGAGAGCTGCTTAATGAGTTTTGGTGAGCTGTTGAGGGCTGCAAGGGTAGCCTTGCCCCTTGACAGGTGCCCTGCCCCTTAGTCACCATCTTGGGACCAGAAGTTCTTCCCCTGAGATTTGCCACTGGAAGGCCCTCCCCTTGCCCCCAGAAATACTCCTTTTGGGGATTGCCATCTTGGAACCAGAAAAAAACCAAATCATATACTAAAAGTCAAACATCTACTATAACACACTTTAATTTTCTTTCAAAAAATATTTTTGTCCTGATTTATGTATGTTTGCATAGTGTATGTGAGGTGATTGCATACAAATAGTCGTATTTTGTATGGCATGTATATGGAGTATGGTTGGGGCAGTGGGTGGGTGGGTGGGTGTATGGTAGGGTGTATGTGGATGCGTGTGTGTAGGGTTTGTGAGGCGTGGCTATGTGAGGGGGGTGTAAGGTATGTTGGAAAGTGTGGGTGTATGCATGTGTGGGCAGGGTGTGGTTGTGGGTATGGGGTTTGTGCGGTGTAAAGCCTCTTGGAGCTGGAGTTCACTTCTTCTAGATTTAATATAGTTTAATAACAGGCGTGGGTGATTGGTGTCTCCTGAGTCTGGGGGGGGGCACCAGATCACCAACGGGGGAGGGGTCCTCAGCGACCGATTGCTGAGCCATTGGCGAAACCGGAAGTGCACTTCTGGTTTCATGGCTGGCGCTTCCAGGAGGTGCACGGCCAATCTCAGGGGGTGCACGTGCACCCGGGTGCACTCCCTACATGTCGCCAATGATACCAGAGGTATAGGTTGTAGCTTTGTTGGTCTAAGGACATAGACAGACAAGGTTGTTTTGGTAAATCTGATATTTTATTAGACCAACTCAAATAGTTGGAAAAATTCTTTTTTGGAAAGCTTTTGGGTATAAATATCCTTTGTCAGGCTGAGGAAGCATCTGCAATTGGTGTGTGCTCTTCCTGGATGGAATGAATAGTAAAGAAGCCAGAGGCTGATATGTGTGCAAAAAAGCCAGTCAGTGAACATGTAAATGGAGGAGTTAGGGAGTGAGAGATCGCATCTTGTTTCATTCAGCTGGAAACATCCTATTCTTGACTCTGACCAGTTCATGAAAACTTGTTCTAAAATGCTTCAGTTTACCTCTCCTTTTACAATTGATATTGTTTTTCCCCCCCAACAAAACATACTTAAAACTACATGTTTTCATATTAGGGCAACGTGACCAGATTTAATTTATTAAATTTATTTTTCATTCCTGAATACTAGTTTCAAATATTGCTTTTAAAAATACAGTCAACATAAATTATGATCAAGTAATTGGCAACTAACTTGGCAGTAAATTAATAATTTGTGGCCTTGAGATAATTTAGGAGAGGAAAAAGGCATAGATTCTGTCTCTAATAAGTATTGTGAGTAGAATTTGATTTATGCTGGCTTTGCGTCATTCTAGCCCATTTCTTAGCTTTTACTTAAATGATAAGATGCAATTAAAAAGTACCCAGGGTGCTTAGCTACTGACAAGACAAGCTGGTGTCCCAGCTTCTTGAATAGGGCTTCCAAACACCATTTGAGATATCAAAATAGTAACAACAGCAATAAACTTTTCTTGGCAAGAGAGGAAGCCTCCAAAGTAGGGGGTTATTATAGAGAATTTTGATGATAAAGTTAAGTAAGGAACAGAAAATACAATTTGACACATTTTTAAAAACTGCAAGAGATTCCTTTTAATGTGAAATGGGCTTAGTTCAAAGAATAAAATTATTTTCTTCCTGGAGAGAAGGGCTAGAGGGGCATTATTCACTTACTTAAGAGAAGGGGTAGATGTATCTCATCTACTTTGGTAGAACCATGAAGTATATTCCTGTCAATCCTGTACCATTCACCATTGTTTAGGTGGCAGATATACCAAGCTCCATTTAAAGCTAATGGATGTCACTGCCAGATTACTTGATAAATAATATATATTCATAATACAGAACAAAATGTTGGTTAACAGAAAGCATCCCCTGCCCCAAGTGGAGAGTAGAATTATGACTTGAGATTTGGTTCTTCTGCAGGTTACATTTGATGATAAAAACTAATCGGACATCATGTGTCATACCTTTTCAATATCCTGCATTGGAATAATGAGGAAATTTGAGCTTCAGATAAACTCATAGAAACCACAATTACAAAATTGCAGGATTGTGAAAATAAGCCTAGTCAATGCACACGTTGAACACTTGATGGCAGCATTGTTTAAAGAAATGGGTTATAGTGGAAAGACTTAAAACAGTGGGGGTAGTACCTAGTTTGGGAATGCAAGAGGAGACTGGGAATGTTAATCTGGATGAAGAATTTAACGCTTACCCTTTAGGTTTCTACATCTTTGTTCCCGATCTCTTGCAAACATCTTCTGTGTATAGTTTCTTGCTTGATGGGTATCTTTCCTCATCTCCCTCAGAAGTCAGTTCCTGCCCTTCCACATCTTCCAGCTATTGCTTCCAACTGAGGCAATAGGTGCAGTCAGGACAAGTGATATCTAAAAGTAGTCCCCTAGGTGTACTTAAGCTGTTTCCTCTTAGCATTCTCCTCTTGCTAATTTTCCGAGAAGTACTAAAATCCATCTTTTCAGTAAGGCAAATGCATCTAATTTGGAGAAAGCTACAACAAATATCTTAGACTAAAGGAAAGGGGGGAGGGGGAGAAACTAACCTTTAAAAAATATTTGAGTTCTGCTAAGATTTTTTTTTTGAAAGAAGATGCATCTTGGACTGATCTGCAAAATATCATTGTTCCTGCTTTCCTAAATTACAGAATGGAGCAGGGCTCAATTTGTAATTGTGTTGCCTTTGGATAATTTAAACAGTGAAAATAGAAAAGGGATCAATAATTTGAAGCATGTGGGGTTTTTTTGTTTTGTTTTTGTTTTGTTTGATGTTGGACTGACTGTATGCCTGAACTTCTTGGTTTCCTCCTGCTCTCAGTTTGAAGTATCTTTGTGATACCTCAATACCTGCCAATTCTCCTGCTCTTGTGGAGCCCCCAAGAACAGGGAGTTCTGTGTTGGAGACTCTCTTTAAAGAATCATAGAGAGAGACTTTGCTAAGAATGCTCCCATTACAGCCTCTCTCCCAGAAAGTTATCACAAACATGGAGGAATCATGGAGACCAGACCTTGGAGATGGGAGCGATTTCAGTGTGTTCCAGCAAATGCAAGTGATGACAACTGATATGTCTCATGCTATGTTGAATGAGCAATATTAGAATGGAAAAGGTATTGTGCAGTAGTCATTTAGAGTGTTCGGGAAAGGCAATGCTCACTGAATGCAGAAGAGATTTTTTAAGTGGCAATATGTGGCCTAGAATATGGTAGAAGACTTGCCTTTTTTCAACAGTTTGTGTACTGAAGTTTCTAAAGACCTTGGTGCGTAGCAGCTTGACTTAAAAAAAAAAAAAAAAAAAAAAAAAAAAAAAAAAAGCCTCTTTAGGCAGTCCAGATGTTCCATTTTATTTGGTCAGCTTGCTTGTGTTGCAAGTGACTGCTTCCTGTCGTAATGAAAAAGGATGGAATAATTATAATTAAAAGGGGATGGACGGATGGAGCTGGAGAATGAGCAAATGTTTCTAACATTACTGTCTTATCTGTGGTTTAGGTAAATATTCAGATTAGGGCAATAAGTCTTTTGTGTACAATATCTGGATTTCTGGCCTTGGAAGGAATGAATTTGAATTGGAAGCTAGAATGCTTCTTGTAGTTAAATTGCATTGGCAATAGATTTTAAATAGTATAAAGTATACTTGGCTGTTCACTCAAAGCAGAACAAAAATTAGCATGATTTGCCTAGAAATACAAAGTACAGGGCATAGGAGCTTTTCAGATAAGTCCACACCTTCAAATGCATCTGGTCACAAATATACATGGCACTGACTTGTTCCAAATGTTAAACATAAAATGTTACTAATATTGTATAACTTCTTTACAGTTTAAATTAGAGAAATGTTTAGAGACAACACCAGTAGAAATGCACCAGTGTCTTATTGCTGATTGGTTCAATGGACTGACCCTTCTCATGGCTTAGTTTAGACTGCCAGTATGTCTTTCCATTCTTCCCATGCTTCATACTACATGGATATTCTCATTGCACAGGAGTGTGTTACTGGGAAGCATCTGCTATAATTACTTGCTTTTTCATCTTCTGCCATGTGGTCTTGATTTACCATAAAGACCACTTTATCCATAGTAAAGTCACACAAGTCATCTAAATACGACAGCAGTGGGTATGCTAGAAGACTCTAAATGGATAACATAAGCAAGCTCCTCCCAGAGACTTCACTGACTACTCCTATGTTGTTGATGCTTCTCGCTGACTACAGCCTAGTTGCACATTTTTAACAAAATGATTGTTTTCTTCTGTGGTAACTTTCATGTTTAAGGCTTTCTAGTTTGTAAGAAATACTAAATTGTGATTTGGCTCTACAGTTTCCCTTCTTCCCTCCCTTTCCTAAAGAGAAGTCCCTTTCACTGAAGTCCCTTTCCTAAAGAGAAGTCCATCTTAGTAGAGGAAGTTACAGGCACCCTGCTTTTCTTCTCCCTGCAATGTTTCAGTTTAGGCCAAGTCCAGAGGATTTAATATAACGTTGTCTTTCTCAATCCCTCCCGGGGGTTGAGTTTAATAAACTACTCCAGCTGACTCTGCACTCTTGGAAGCAGAGTCCTTAATTCTGACCCTTTTGGAAGCTGTCCTCGAATAGGATTTTTCTCCACAATCCAGGTGCCTTGGTTTTCTCCAGCTCCGTGAGATAAGGAGCATCTCTAAGTTAGGCAGCTTGAGCATCCCTCCTTTTCCTACCAGGAATCTCCCAGCCCCAGGTCAGAACTGGATCATAGGCTTGGAAGGAACCCTGAAGGTCACTTGGCTGAACCAAGCCCTTTCATCTTTGTTACTTGCCTCTGGATCTTCTCCAGTTTCTCTACAGCC